CTGAGTTCAAGGCCAGCCTGGTCTACAGAGCCGATTTCAAGGATAGTCAGGGCTGCACAGAGAAATCCTATCTCAAAACAAACAAACAGGCTTGTTTGTGTTTTTTGTGTGTAGGAGTGTTTTGCTTGCATATGCATAACTGCACCCTCAGAGACCAGAAGAAAGCATTGGATCCCCTGGAATTGGAGCTACTACAGACAGTTGTGAGCTGAGATGTGGGTTCTGTAAACTGACTGTGGCTCCTCTTCAAGAGCAGCCTGTGCTGACCCTCTCTCCAGCTCCACCCGCTCTTTACATGGTTCCTGGGACTGAACGCTGTCTTTCAGGCTTGCCTAGCACTTCGTCCCTTGTTTTCTCTCTTTTCTTTGAAACAGGACCTCACAAACAGAAAGCCAGCCTCAAATTCAATATACAGCCAAGGACGACCTTGCACACTGTTGGTCCTTGATCCTCCTGCTCCCACCTCCCCATTGCTGGGATTACAGCTGCACCCTCACACAGTGCTGCAGACAGAGTCCGTGACCTCAGACATTCTAGGGAAGCTGCATTCTGGCCTGCATCCCAGCAGGACCTAAGAGCTTTGAAATATTTATTAAGGGCTCCTGCCCTGACGCCACCTCTGGCTCCCTCCCTTAGGGCTTTGTCACTTCCTCCCAGTGGAAACTTACGAGGATGGGAAAGTGTAACTGATTCCAGTTGAAGTGAATTTCAGAAAACTCTAGCAAGGAGCAACATCTAGAACCTTCAAAACCATCACTTAGGAGACAGAGACAGGGGGATCTCTGTGAGTTTGAGAGTATAAATGTACACAGACATGCATCCGCACACATATACACACATATGTTTTTACATGAATGCATACACTTACGCACATGCATGTACACATGTATACACACATACATGCATTCAAATGCATGCACCCTCACATACTTGCATGTATACAAGCATAAATATATGTGGAACTAAATGGACGGCATTTAGTGTGGCTCAAGGGCCATATATATTTTATTCCTTGCAGAATTCAGCCATGCCCAGCAGACATTAGAAGTTCAATAGTAAATTTGTTCATTGCTGAACATGAAGCCTGGGACTGCATACATTCTTGCCTAGTATTCTGTCACTGAGCCCTCCATTCCTATTTGTTTTATTTCACTTTATGTGCATTGGTGTTTTGCCTGCACGTTTGTCTGTGTGAGCGTGTAAGATCTCCTGAAACTGCGGTTACAGAGAGTGGCAAGCTGCCATGTGGGTGCTGGGAATTGAACCTAAGTCCTTGAGAAGAGCAGCCAGTGCTCTTAACTGCTGAGTCATCTCTCCAGCCCTGAGCTCCCCTTTAAAATCTTTTTGTCTTTTAGACTAAGATGTCCTGATCTTGCACTCACTCTGGCTGGTCTTGAACATGCAATCTTCCTGCCTTGGCCTTTTGAGCATTGGGATCACAAGCGTGGGCCACCTTGAGTCAGGAGGACTATGACACCCTCTTCTACCACCTGTTTGATGCAGCGCGGGACTTTGCAGTACAAGTGTTACATCTTGCCAAGCTGCACTGAAATAATGTCCTGAGTCTAGACTTTCATTTCTGCTGCCTTCTGCCGCTCAACACCTCAGATCTCTGTCAAGTTGGTGGTGTTTGTGGACCAGCACTGCAAGAGACCGCTGCAATTCAGGAAATAACCTCCAGGGGGCAGCAGAGGAAGGCACTGCTGCTTGGGCGTTCCCAGACCCCTGCAGACCTTGGGACTTGGCGCTTACCTTCCAGAGAAGCAGGGCTGCCCGGTTGCCAGCTGTCTCACAGACGGCGCCCGATATCCACACATCTTTAGGAGCTGATGAGGACAAAGCAAAGGCAGGTACAGTTAGATGGACAAGGCTGCCTGATCTGTGGTGGACCGAGGCCCAGGAGTACAACACTAATGGAGGCATCCTTACGCAAGAACGGCGTCTGGAAGGACAGGTCCGGGCTCCACTCGCCCCACAGATCTCCTTTCTCCACTCGGCAGCGACCGGACACCTGGTAGCTGGTGCCGGGTTCCAAGTTCTGCATCTCAACAGGAGCCAGCAGGTCCGTCTTCAGTTGTGGCTCCAGCTAGGAAAAGGATGGGGAAAGTGACGTGGTAGCTCTCCGTGCAGAGGCGAATTCTTTTCCCAAAGCTGTGGCCCTGGGTCTGGCACAGGCTAGGTAAGCCCTCTAGTACTGAGTATTTACAGCAGGCCCTCGGAGTGTGCGTGCGTGCGTGCGTGCGTGCGTGCGTGTACAGGTGTTAGTGTCAAGTGCCTTCCTTTACCCACTAAGTCATCTCGCTAGCCTCTACTTCATTTTTGAGACGAGGTCTCTCGCTGACTCATTCCTTGGATTGGATGGTCGGTAAGTTCTGAGATCCGCCTGTGTCTGTCTCTGCCGCGGTTACATGGTGCTACCATGCTGTCTTTCCTCCATGGGTGCTGGGATCTCAGGATCTCATGTTTGTGTGTCACTTTGATTACTGAGCGATCTTCCCAGCTGTAGTCTATGGTTTGTTTGGGTTTTTGCTTGTTTGTTTTGAGACAAAATTTAAAAAAAAAAACTTTTTATTTTAAATATCTTTATTTTATGTATGGATGGATGCTCTGCATGTATTCCTACATGATAGAACAGGACATCAGATTGGGTGCTGGGAACTGAACTTGGGTCCTCTGGAAAAGCAGCCAGTGCCCTTAATCGCTGAGCAATCTCTCCAGCCCAAGACAAAACTTTTAACTGATCAAGATACTCATACAGGCCAGGTGTGTGCAAATCTTTAATCCCAACATGGGGGGCATAGGCAGGTGGATCTCTGTGAGTTTCAGGCTAGCCAGAACCACACAGTGAAATCTTGTCTCACTGCTCCCCCTCTCCCCAACCAGATCCCCAGTATCTAGAGGCAGTACTGAAACCCTGCTGTCTCAGAGCTTGGGAGGCTGAGGCTGGGGGATCACATTTCTGAACCAGCCTAGCTGGCTGCATGGCTACGCAGACAGAAACCAGAAACAAATGAACAAAGTTGCTTATGAGGCCTTCTATGTGAGATTTAGGGGTAACTCCGTGACAGGATTGAATCCCATCTACCAGAGATAGGGTGGGAAAGAAGCCCCCCCCACACACACACACTCACCTGAGTCCACTTTTCCTCCTGGCATCTTTTGTACTGGAATTGACAGATGAGAACCTTATGAGGTGGCCACAGAGGTGGTTTCCACAGCATAGCGGCCTCCAAGGGTTCATCCTCAGAGAAGTCCACATCAGAGAGGAGCTGGGGGGTGCCTGGCTTCACTGTGAATAGGAGGCCAGAGCACACTGAGCTAGGGCCTCCAACTACCCCCACCCCCACACTGTGCCTTACCCTCCCACTGAGTTACTTTGGGTTTCCAGGTCCACGAAGACAGGGGACCAGAGAGGTTGGCCCTCTTGTTTCCCCCAGATGAGGAGTTTGTCAGCCATGGTGAACTGTTCCCGGGGAATGGTCACCCAGTTCTGCCTGGAAGGCACCTTTACCTCCCAGATTCTATTGGAATGGCTGTGGGGAGAGACAGGGAAGAGATGCAGGTTGGTCCTGGCTAAGCACCCTTGCACTGATGTCAAGCCCTCGCTGGACCTGTGCTATTTCAAAGCGGTGTGACCTGAGGCAAGAGCCTTAACCTCTCTGTTACTCCTCTACAAATGCCTGCAGTCAATGTGCATGTTGAAAGAGCTCCGTAGTGGGCCAGGGGACGGTTCCCTGTCATCCCAGCACACAGGAGATAGAAACAGGAGGATTGTTAGAGGCTAGCTTCACACAAAGCCCTTGTCACTGTCCCTTACTTAGTCCAACTAAAATGGTGTTTCTAGATCACATCTGCACCCTGCCCAACCCCCAGCACCAACTTTCATTGTGATTCCAAGCACTAGACTGATTTTTTTTTTTTTTTGAGACAGGATTTCCAGAAGCCCAGGCTAGCCACTGGTTATGAAGCTGAGGCTGGCTTTGAATTCCTGATCTTCCTGCCTCGTCTCCCAAGTGCTGGGGTCCCAGGTGTGCGTCACCGTGCTGGCTTAGACTGGTGTGTTCATAGAGTAAAGTAAACTGCTCGAAAAAGTCAAATTATCTGCCTGATGTTGAACGGCGATATAAACCTGCTTCCTGGTACTAAGCATTTTTTCTTTGCCATGTGCCTACCGCATTGATGGGCAGAATCAATCATGGGAGGCACGTGCCGTCATTACTGTCATTTGAGGGGGGGGCACTAGTTACTACGTGACTAGTCCGGAGTTATGCAGTAAGGAAATGAGTGGGACCTGGCTTGAGGGTCTTGAAAATGTGGGAGAAATCTCCAGTAGCAGGATTCGGGGGTCCTCTTAACCAAAGCCAGTTGCAATCCGAGTGGTCACTTCCCGCGCTCAGTTTCCCCAGACCGCTGCAGGTTACTCACTACTTCTGACTCTGGTGATACAGCACAGGAGGAATCTCCAGGTCGCCCAGAGGTTCCCAGGAGCAGTTTAGGTTTCCCAAAGGTCCGACGCTGTAGCATTGCAGTGGGCCGGGGCTGCCTGTGGGGGCGCAGAGGGCCGAGACGGCCACGATCAAGTTCCGAGGGCCCTAAACATGCCGGACTGTGGATGTGTTTATTCTCCGGTACCGCGGGAATGCCGGACCCGAGCCCAGGGCCTGGCACGTGCTGGGACAGCGCAGAGGGAGTCCCGGACCCCTCCCCAATCCTGCTACATCCTGTTGTCACCCAGTCCCCGCCGCCCTAAAACTGTGATCCCAAGTTGGCCACTCACGAAGCCTCTCACCTTGGGGCCACGTCCCAAGTAGCAGCGGCAGCAGTGGCAGCAGCAGCAGCTCCAAAGGCGTGAGGCGCGCAACCCGGGGCCCGCTCATGGTTCCCAGGGACAAGAGACACCGCCAGGCCTGGGGCTTGCAGCCTGAGAAGGAAGACACCCCGCCCCTGGCGGGAAGTCCCCAAATCCGCCCACCCCCAGCAATGACACGCACGCGTGCAAATGCTCAGAACTGAACCTTTATTTTGTAGTGGAAAATACTGAGTACTGGGAACCTCGCGTTCCCAGCCCTGGGGTCTGCAGAAGAGTGTTTTGGGCTGGGGACGGAAGGGAGAGAAGCAGGGGGTAGGTTGCAATGGCCTGGTCAGGAAACAGCGGCGGCAATTAGGACCGGACAGGACGCGGGTTCTCAGTGTGGCGGCTAATTTGGGTAGGTGGACGCCTGGCTGTAGCCGGGCTCTTTGGAGCTGGGGCTGGGGAGGGGAAGAATTGAACCGTGAAGATCAAGTTTCTGCTTGGCTGAGTATGGGTGTGGTCCGGAGCAAGGTGGGACTAGGTAGAGTCCTGGCAGAAGGTCTGTGAGGAGAACGCGGAGCCTTCAATGCCTTGCCTGTAGGAATGCTCCTGAGCGTCGCATAGACAGTAGGTTGGAGGCACGGGGACCGGCCCCCATCGCCCGACCCGGGTCCTAGCACAAGCTGCTGATTTGACTCTTACTACAACCCCACTCGCAGCAGCTGCTGGAAAGGCCAGCCAGGACATCTCTGCTGCCCCGAACTGCTCCAGGCGATCCTTGCCAGCTGGGTCGACTACCATAGAAGGCCTGGGGGGATTTGGTCAGGGCCAGCCACTCGCTGGAGCCCACAGCTTCGTCCAGTTCGCTGGCCAGGTTGTCCGTATTGGCTTCTGCATCAGGGAAGAAGTCCCCTGCAAAGCAGAGGAAGCATTAGGGCTCAGAATGACGGCTCCTGTCTGGCCAGATTGTATCTCTGGTCTTGAGAATCAAGGTTGCTATCCAAAGTTTTATTTCATGTGGTCCTGGGCTTTGTTACTAGTTTCAATACTGACTTTCCTGTCACGGATTTTATGTTATTCTTTATTTAATGTGGACCAGGTAAATGAAAGTATGCATTTGGAAGCTAGGGTCCCTAACTTAGAATTAAATGAGCTTTCCTCTCTGAGGCTCAGTTTTCTTTTCCATGAAGTGGGGGGAAATAATAGCTCCTACTCTCCAGTTTTATCGATAGTGGGAGGCTTAACGCCAGCAAACGCACAATAAAATTGGATACACAATGAGCCTCAAATGAACACTGATTATTTATTGACTGTCTTGATCGTTTGCCACATTAACTTCCTTGGTCCTCTCAGTGACAGCCACAGAGCTGCTACTGTTGCCACCCACCTGTCCAAATGAGCCGGTGGTTCCTCAGTGAGCTCCTGTGAGGACACAGCCATTCGGCCATAGAGCTACTGATTCTAACCCAGGTACACTGCTATCTGCACACGCGTCCATCACCCACACATCGCTCCGCCCTCCTCTCTGCCATCTTCCCCCAGTTTTGTTTTTGAGAACAGAGTCTCAGGCTGGGCTGGAACTCATGACCCTCCTGCCTCAGCTTCCCAGAGTGCTGGGATTCTAGCCATGTGCCAGCTAGCCTTGCCTCTGAGGAGCTGCACCCTCCTAGCCTCTCCTACTCCACCCTTAAAGAATTCTGCCAGATCTCACCTGCTGTGTCTTCCATTTCGCCAGGAATTCTCGCTCCAAGGGGGAGCAGGGGCAGCCAGGAGGTGGCAAAAATAAGCCCTATGCTCATAGCCCTCCTCCTGCCCTGCTCACTGGGCTCCAAAACCTGCTGTGCCCTCAGCAGGTGCCTCAGGAACAGCGGCACCTCTGCCAGGCAGGTGTTCCCACAGCCTGTGGCTAGAGAGGGACTCTATTTCACCACACCTCCCGTTTTTTACTTTGAAGGCTGGGTGTTAATCTGTAGCCCAGGCGGCCCTGAAACGCAGGAAACTTCTGCCACCTCCTCCCAAATATTTGGAAGTCCAGTGTGCACCATGCCTGGTTCACACACTCCTCCTCTATTTTGGCTATGTGCCCACCTGGCCACCTGTTCCAGGTGATTGTCCACCCAGTCCACACACATACTCACCCGGAGAGTCATGGGCCAAGATGTCTGCCCGGCGCCATCGTGAGCCCCCACAGGTGAAGATGACCGCTCGGATGAACTCGCGCCCGCACAGCTTCACCACGTAGGGCGCTGGCCTCGCATCGGCCTGCAGCTGCAGAGTCCCAAGGAGAGCCCAGCAAGCCAGCAGCAGCAGCCCGCGGGTTGCCATGCTCAGCTGAGATGCCTGCAACCGAGGTGGCTCTCTCTGCACCACCTCTGTCCTCCCATTTATACAGGCTGGATCTCTGCCCCTCCCGCTGACCTGAGTTATCTTCCTCACAGAGGGGAGGCAGTGGGCAGCCTGACCTTTACCATCTCCTTGCCAAAAGATAACCTTTCATGCAGACAGGGTGACATGGCTCAGCTCTTTGTCATCCTTCCACACCCGAGAAGTTCTCGAGCTTTGTCTACTAGTAAGTGCTGGAATTGTAGGAGTAAGCCGCCACCTACCTACCTTCCTTCCTTCCTTCTTCCCTCTCTTCCTCCCTCCCTCCCTCCCTCCCTCCCTCCCTCCCTCCCTCTCCTTTCCTTCCTCCCTCCCTTGCTCCCTCCCACACATCCTTCCTCCCTTCCTCCTTTCCTTTCTTCTTTCCTTCCTTTCTTTCTTCCTTCATTCCTTTCCTCTCTCTCTCTCTCTCTTCCTCTCCCTCCCTCCCTTCATTCCTCCCTCCCCCTTTCTCTCCTTTCTATTTATTTATAGACAATCTCCTAACCGGGCTAACCTCAAACTCTAGCATCAAGATCTCCACTGGAGCTGAAGAAATGGCACTGGCCCAGAAGATAAGAGGTGTCCTGCTCTTCCAGGTGGCCCAAGCTTGATTTCCCGCACCCAAAGCAAGAAGCTCACGGTTGCCTGTAACTCCAGTCACAGAGGATTTGACACCCCATCTGGCCTCCTGTGGGACCCGCAAACATGCTCATACATGCACATATATAGACAGAAGCAGCAATAAAAAGCGCACAATAAAAAGAAAGGTAACTCTGCAGGACAGCTGTGACCCTTGACCTTTCCCCTGGATCCTGGGGGCCAACTGTGCTCCCTGTACTCATGAAGCCGAGGCAGGAGGATTGTAGAAATGTAGAAATGTGAGACTAACCTGGGCAACATGATGAGACTCTGTCTGAAAAAACAGACAGGCTGGGAGGCTGAGGGGTGGTGCAACACTCACATTGGGGGTTAACAATCACCCAGGACTCCAGCTCCAGGGCATCTGGTGCCCTCTTCTGGCCTCCACAGCCCCTGCACTCGCATGCTACACATAAACTCACTCAGACACACACACCCATATAATAAATAGACAGGGTGGTAGAGCACTTGTCCTGGGTTCAATCCTCATTGCTGAGAAAACCCGGCAAAGATAAAATTTTAACCGCATACTGGGCCAGTCGGTGACTGCGGAGCCTAGGCCCTTCTCAGACTTGCTATCCCTCTGCCTCAGCCTCCTGAGTGGCTCAGTGGTCTGGCTGTCTCCAACATCCACAGCAAAGGAGCCACACCCAGCTTTTTAATGTGGGTTCTGGGGATTTGAACTCAGGCCCTCATGCTTCTGCAGCAAACACTCTTTCCCACCGAGCAGGGTCCTCAGTCCTGACACGCGCTATTTAAAGGGTGGATATAAACAGGCTGCCGCTGTTTTCTTCCTCAGGCCAGAGACTGTACAAACACACGTGCAAACGGCCTCTTCGAAGCCTACTGGATCCTACCGGATCCTACCGGATCCTACCGGTTACCATTCTCCTTTCCATCCCAGATGACTGCTGCCTTTCACCTTTTCATCATTTCTTGTCTCCATTCACAGAGTTCTAGTGTTTTGAAGTCCTGGAGATGAACCCAGGGCCTCAGGCACGTTTGGAAAGAAAGTGACACTGAGCCACACCGCAGTCCACAGATGTGGGTTTGTGAAGGGCTGGATTTTTTTTATTGGATTATAATTTAATAGTGTTTTTTTTAAAACATCACAATTTCTATTTATTTATTTATTTATTTATTTATTTAGGTTTTCCAAAACAGGGTTTCTCTGTAGCTTTGGAGCCTGTCCTGGATCTAGCTCTTGTAGACCAGCTGGCCTCGAACTCACAGAGATCTGTCTGCCTCTGCCTTCCGACTGCTGGGATTAAAGGTGTGCATCACCACTGCTCAGTTATTTTTTATGTTTCTGTTCTTTTTTTAAAAAAATATTTATTTATTTATTCATTATGGATACAATATTCTGTGTGTATGTCTGCAGGCCAGAAGAGGGCACCAGACCTCATTACAGATGGTTGTGAGCCACCATGTGGTTGCCGGAAATTGAACTCAGGACTTTTGGAAGAGCAGGCAATGCTCTTAACCACTGAGCCATCTCTCCAGCCCTTATGTTTCTGTTCTTGTGCTAATTCTGTGACATGAGTGTGAGGTCAAAGAATACTTTCCAAGACTTGGGAGTCACTTCTCCCTTTCCACAATGTGGTGTAGGTCTTGGGATGAGACGCAAGTCTGCAGGCTAGACAGCAAAAGCCTTTACCTGCGAGCATATCTGCATGAATATGTGTGTATACATTAATATTCAGGGTCTCATATCTGCATGAGTATGTGTGTATACATTAATAGTCAGGGTCTCATATGTCCCTCAAATTCACCATGTCATTGGGGCGGACGTCTACACCCAGGCATGCAGCACCAAATCATCATCATCACACTGATTTATTGTGTGTTTGTGTACATTTGGGGAGCATAGAACAGCTTCCGGGCATAAGTTCTCTTGCATCAAGTGGGGCAAACTTGGTTTCAGGCTTGGCAGCAAACACCTTTTCCTGCTGAGCTTGCTCCCTGACCCTACCGCATATGTGCTTCATACATGCCAGGCAGACGCTGTACTGCTGAGCCATGGCCTAGCCCCCAAATAGAACTCTTTACAGTGGTCAGTTTGAGCCGAGGGTATGGCTCAGTGCTGATCATGACTGACTGGGTGGATTCGAGAGCTACAAAGAAAGACTTATGTCATCTTCACCTTAATCTGAAAACTAAGAACAAGGGGCTAGGAGATGGTTTAGTTGATGAGATGCTTGCTATGCAAACATGAACACCCGAGCTCCATCCCGGAAACCTTTTAAAAGCCAGGTTTAGTGGTGCCATCCGCCCCCAGCAACAGTGCGGGGCAGGGAGGGTGAAGGATGAACAGGCAGAATCCTGGAGCTCACAAGCAGCTGCATGGATGAGATCCAGATTCACTGAGTGGTCCCATTCTTAAAGAGTAAAGTGGAGGTAGACACCCGATATCGCCTCTGACATGTAGATGCATATGTACAAGCACCACATGCACACACAGCCATGGACAAAATGATACTAAAATTAAAGCTAAGTAAAAAACACGAGCAGTGGTCACTTCCTAATCCCAGCCCTCGCCCTCAGGAAGCTGAGGCAGGAGGACTGCCACAAGTTCCAATCAAATCAACCTAGGTTCCATACTAAGTTCCCAACCACCCTGGGCTACAGAGTGAGACTATATCAAAAAGTAAAATGAAACAATGTTCATCAGGACGCTAGAGATGGGCAGCCTAGGTTTGTATCTCATTACCTGCCTTCTTGCTGTGTGAATGTAAGAGAGTCACTTGACCTCTCTGAGGCCCAGTTTCTCATCTACATGACAGGGAGGCTGGGAAGAGTGCACCTAGTTCTTCCGTCGTCACTCCCTGTGTGGTCAGCCCTGTGCACTTCTGTCCTTTGTTGCTCTGATGGGCGTCCTGGGAGTCGTCTCCCTGTGCTCCCTGGAAAGGGCTGATGAATAATTTGCTCCCCAATCCCAGCTGCCCCTTTGCCAGAGCAGCTCACAGGGTGCAACCTTCTGCCCTTTTCTCTCCCGCATCCTGATGTCTGGTCAGGAGCCTGCTGGCAGACAGGAGCAGGTCCCTTGGGGCTGCATGCCTGTCTGTCTGCCTGGCTCAGCCAGGAGTCTCTTTTGTGCCTTCCACAGTGTCTGAAATCTGAGCCCACCCAGCTGAGATAGAATTCTGGTTGCTGTGCTCCTGGAGGAAGGTCTTACACCTCTCTGAGTTCACTGAGAAGATGCAGTCAATGTGTGTGTTTGCTTGACAGGCCGCTGTGGACTTGGAGGTGAGTGTCTCTTCTTGGATGCTCCAGGCCACACATCCAAGAGGAGACACGCCCAGTCTGGCGCCTGGGGACCAGGGTGGGCACTTATTTGGGAATAGAAGTTTCACAGATGCGTTAAGGGTCTTGGAATGAGGTCATGCTACATTTTCTGAATGGGTCTCCAGTTCAGTGACAGAGTCCTAACAGACAGAGAGGGGAGTCGGGCTACGATACCTGTTTGTGCAGCTCTTGGGATGTAGGTATAAGATCAGGGGTTCAGGCTAGGGGGATGGCTCAGAGGTTAAGAGCACTGATGCTCTTCCAGAGGTCCTGAGTTCAATTCCCAGCAACTACGTGGTGGCTCACAGCCATCTACAGTGGGATCTGGAATGCAAGCTTACATGCAGGCAGAACACTGCATAATAAATAAATAAAATCTTAAAAGAAAAAGATCAGCGTTCAAGGTCATTCTCAGCCACACAGTGAATCTGAGGCCGTCCTGGGCTGCATGAGACCATTTCCCAAAACCCCAAACAAGATACAAAACACTAGGGCCTTGGAAATGATTTTGTTGGTAAATCCTTTGTCTTGCAAGTTCGAAGCCCCAAGTCTCATCCCATAAAAATGGTGCTCATAAAAACAGTGGTGCTCACCTGTGACTCCAGCACTGGGAAGCAGGGACATGAGAACCCGGTGGCTCATAGGACAGTCAGTCTGGCCAACTCAGGAGATACAGGTTTAGTCAGAGCACCTGTCTTAAAAAAGAAAAAGATAGAGGGCTAAGGGTCAGTGTGCTTGTCCTGAAAGCCTGAGGACCTGAATTTGGGTCTTCAGAGCCTGTGTAAAAGCTGATGCTCCTGTGCCCCTCCCCGTGACCCCGTGACCTCACAGCAGGATGGAAAATAGAGGCAGGAAGACCCGTGGGACCTTGAGGACCAGCTTGCCTGTGCACAGGAAGTAAGAAACCCTACCTCAAGTGCTAGGGAAATGGAGAACCACACCCAAGCTTGGCTTCCGATAGCCACAAGTGCACACAGAGACATGTAGTCACACGGACACACAGCACATACAAGCACCCATACACACATCAACAAAATGTCATAGACATCCTGATACAGGCATGCATATACAGAGACATACACACTGAGAGACACAAAAACACAATCACGCACAGACACACATTCACAGACACATACAGACACAGAAACATACAGATACACACACATATATACATATATACAAAATTAAAGAATAAATCTTTTTAAAAAGTTTTTTTTTTTCAGTAAAAATGGCCAGGGACAGCCTTGGAAGGCTGAGGGACAGCCTGGTGTGAGGTGGGTGTAGCATGAGAGCCCAGGACTGGAGACAAGCAAGACTGGAGGGCAGAGCATCAATG